TACGTGGCCTTGGGCAACTCATTAAGGCCAAAATGCTCAAAGCTCGGTGATGGGAGATAAGCTGTGAAATAAAACGTCTCATTGTTCAGGGCTCGGGAGGTCAATATCTTCAGAAGTACTCAGGTGTTTAAAGTGAGGATGGCTGCCGTGGAGGTCCTGTCGCCCCTGGTTAGAGATCAGGATCCAGCTTTTAGATGAAAGAGCCGGCAGCCTGCTTGGCCTTTTTCAGAAGTTTTAGGCAGGGTGTTGCCGTGCTGCACCGATGGCCGGGAGCCAGCGGCACGAGGCCAGGAGCCAGCTCAGGCTGCCAGCCTGCCTCGAAAGAGTCAGCGGGCAGTGAGCTAAATAAATTATTTCTGGCCAGAGAGGTGCAAAGCCTGGGGGAAATCTGGCAGGAGCGTGGTTCTCTGCCCTGAGCCTCGCCCAGGGCTCGGAGGGAGGCTGCAGCCCCGGTCCACGCGTGCCCGGGCTCCTGGTCTGGTGTGGCCACGTCCCCAGGGATGCCGGTGGCCTCACGCAGGATGAGCTTTGCAAGACCCAACGGTGCTCAGCCAGGGCAGCCAGAGGAAGCGTGCCTGCATTTTCCCTTCGGTCAGCGGGAGGGGGTTAACCCAAAAGGCTGCAAGTCACCACAGTTCACGTCTGTCCGTGCGCTGAGGAGCTCCGTGTTTATGCAGGACAGAGTCTGGCCCATCTTGAGCCAAAAACAAGGGAATTTGGGGGCGGTGAGCTCCGCATCGGGCAGCAGGCACACCTCAGTGTGAGGCTGAAGCTGCTCCCGCTCTCTGGATGCCGACAGCACCGAAACCCCTCGGCGAAGACAATGTCCACCCCAGCGCAAAGGGCCACATCCAGCCCGTGGTGAGCACCACTGCGTGCCTGATCCTGCCTCGGCCGAGCTGCCCACTGCTGTGGCACGGGGCTGGCGAGCTCGCACCCGGCCTTGGGCTGGCCCTTTGCACAGGGAGCAGTCCCACCCCAGTGAAACCAGTCCTTCCCGGGTTTCTCCAAGTCGCTTTTGCTGCTGTTTCTCCTGCCCTTGGGTCTGGCCCGTGCGCAGGACCCTTTCCACAGCACTCAGCATTTCTGGAGGGCTTTGCAAAATGCATATTGACTGCAACAAGGGGCGGAAAACCCTCCAGGCAGAACACTGCCCCAGCTAGTGCCCCACGGGATGGTGGTGCAGCCCCGTGCCAGGCTGGCTGGAGCAAATCTGCCCGTCCCAGCAAACTGCGCTTTGCTGCGGTCCCGTGCACGGCGGGAAGGACACCTGAGGCTCAGGCTCGCTGCTGACTTCAGCATGTACCTTAGCTGACTGGGGGACTGGCCACAGCCCCTAATCCTCTCTACGTGCTGGCCTGCAGACCTGCCGTGTCCCCCAGCCCCGCCGCTCGCAGCCCCTGGGGCCGGGCAGAGCCCTGAGGCCCCGCACGACCCCGCACGTGGACGCCTGCTGCAACGGGGACATGGTAACAAAAGCTCCTGTGTGGTGGATTTGAAGGAGACCCATCAATATTTGCCGTGAATAGGTGGACAGTGGAGCAGAGCGATTCAAGCAGGGGCTAATTGCATGTCCCTGGCAGTTGCAGGGAGCGGGGGACAGTCACACAAATCCCATTAGTGTCACCCGCAACGGGCTCTCTGCTGCTGGGTTGAGGTGGAATAATGGGGCAGTGATCGAGGAAACAAAGTAGTCATTCAGATAATTAATAGCAACAGCAGTGCTCATGTAAAGAGGTGCCAGGGTGCCACGGGGTGCCCCGGCACGGCTCCGTGCCCGGCCACACCACGACACCAAACCCTTCGTTAACGGGTGAGCGGTGCCGGGCACGGGGCTGGTGCTGCCACGGTCCAAGCACCTCACAAAAACGGGGGCTGACACCCTCCAGATGCAGGCACATACCTGCTGCCCGGTGGCACTAGAGGGCAGGGTTAAGGCTTTGATGCCATGATTTTATTTTTTTTTTTGTAATCGAAGCTTTGGAAAGGTTACTTGTAACTTTGAACCTCTGGGGTTTATCACATCTGCTTTTAAGACTAACATCTTGAAGTGGCTGAAACCTCTGCATTACTCAATCCCAGATTCGGGTTAATGGGGTTTCTCCTTCGGAGCAGGAAAACTTGATTTTTTAAAATCTGCTTTGCAGACTTTAAGCGACTTTACGTTAACTATCACAAGTTGAGTAAGAGAATTTATTTCCACCCAGCGGCGGGTGCCGCGGGCTGGGGCGGACGGACGGTGCTGCCTGTCCTTGCGCTGCTGGGACGTGTTTGCAGGGAGGGAGCTGCAGGGGGGCTGCTATCTGTCAGCCCTGCAAAGAGGCAGTTTGCAATGCAAATCCACAGGCTCTAACCAGAGCTCCCACACCTGGAACCAGTCAGAGCTCAACCAGTCTGGTCACACGAGATAAAAATGGAGTGCATGCTGCATTTTTAGAGTGCATGGGATGGTGGAGGGTGGAAGAGCTGTTAGGAGTAGTTAAACTTCAGAAGCACTGAAGCAAACTGCAGCTGGGAGTCAAGGATTTAGGGTGAGTGTGAGGTGCTAATTCTGCAAATACTGAGGGCAGCTCTTCTGTATGTGCCGACAGCGTAGGGATGGTTTCCGTTTGGTGATCAGCGTCCTCAGGCTGGGGTTTTACTGATTTTTGTGTGTAGCTTCCATCGGTGAATGAAAACTTGTAAAGGCAGAGGTGCAGCCTGGCTGTGCTGGCCAAGCTGTGTGAAGCACAGAGTCCAGCATCGCGGCTGGAAAGTATCTCTGATTTATTAAATGCAGCAGTGTGGGGAAGGACAGTGGGAGGGCGAGAGCTCGGGCTCGTTTGGTTTCCTGACTATCGCCATGGGCCAGGCCCTCTGCCACGGTGAGCTGGTACCACTGGCTGCACAGGAACTCACTGACTCACACAAGGCAAATATTTTTCCCTTTGATTTTCACCCTGAGAAGATCTTGAGCTGACCTTGTTAATCCCACGTGTTACGAACCTCTCCCCCTTCCAGTCCTTTATCAAGTTTCAGCTGCGGGATAGTATTACCACCTTAGCACCTCTGGTTGCTCCTGCCAGCATCCTGCCTGGCGCGGTGCCACCCCAGCCAGGCTCCCGGTCTTCCCGGAGGGAGGATTCCCGGGGCGATGCTGACTGTCCCAAGGCTGTCAGGACCACGCTGGTGCTTCTACCTGGGAGGAATGGAGGGAGAAGAAAAGCTGGATGGCTGCAGTCGGCTCCAGCGTGGTGCTGCACATCTGCAAGGTGCATTATCCGGGGTCTCTACAGGGTGGTGATGCCGTTAGAGCTCCTGCCAGCTCCCAGGCTTGCAATCTCTTATGCAGCCTTAATTTCTGTGTGTGGAATGACGGTGTGTGGGCACACAAAGTGCTTAGGCCCCGCTGTTCTCCATCCCCCTCCGTCTGAGCCCAGCACCTCAGAGCTCGAGCAAGGGCTCTAGAGCGAGCTGTGTCTGCAGTCGAAGGTCTGGCTTCAGCTCGGCTGGGTGCTGCGACGCGCTGCTGGCCGTGCCTCCCCGGGGCAGCCCGGTCTGCGGGTGGACCCTGAGCTGAACCAAACGTGCAGCTCCCGCCTGGCCCCGGCTCCTGCCGCTCGCGGGCTTCGGCACCCTCGGCAGCCCTGGGCTTGTGCCAGTGGCCGCTCAGCCCCGGCCGAGGGAGCAGCCGCTCCGCTGAGTGCATTTGTTTGACCTGCTGGGCTCTGGGTGTCCAAATTGCTGCTTGCTGGAATAAAACGGATCAAGTTTGCGTCTGCCTCCAGCACCGAGAGCTGCTGGAGAAAGGGTGGAATTAGAAACTCTAGCGCTATTGATGGGGATGGTGCTTTGCACCCGTCGCCCAAACGGCTGAGCGCTCTGGCTGAGGCTGAGCCCAGAGCTGTGCCAGGATGGGGCTGAGCGATGCTGGGTATGAGGGGGGGTCTGGGAGGGGGGGCTGAGCCCGGTTGGGGGGCTGGGGCTGAGCCAGGTGGCAGTGGGGAGGTGCCGGTGTCCCGCTGCCTCAGGGATACAGGGAAAAAGGGCGTGCGGAGCTCAGGGAGGAAATAGTTAATGCCCCTCTCCTCCCAATACTAAGGGACAAATCCTCTCCCCGGCCTGGTGCCCAAATAAACAGGCTGAGTGTTGCATAAGGAGGAGGGTGGGAATATCTCTACGTGCCTCTCTGGAGACTGGCACTCTAATTACGGCGTTGTGGCTCCTGTGCCCCCCCCGGTCTCTGGTCTCGCCCTGCCAGCCCCGTGTCCTGCCACCCAGATGGGTGCTGGCCCCAGTTGGTGGCACAGCTCAGTGGTCCTGGGTGGGGAACAGCCACGATGGGGCTCGTGGAAAGGTCCGGGAGGTGGCAGGGCAGAGCCCCCACGGCCCCCGGGAAGCTCTGTGGGAGCGGTGTGGTCAGTGTGGATGGGTCTGGGGGAGGGTGGTGAGAGGGTGGGAGGTCCCACAGAGACCTATGGGGCAGGGAGCCTGGCTGGGGGATCTCCCTGGGTCCACCCAGCCCTACGGCTCTGCAGCGAGCGGGGTGCTGCAGCCCCAGGGAGGAGAGTCCCAAGGCCGTGGGGAAGGTGGCACGGGGTGGCCATGGCCACCTCACTGGCCAGCCCCAGCCTGGGCCTCAAAACTGCTTCTCAAAGGTGCCTGAGCCCGAGTGGGATGGATGCAAGGAGGGAAGCGGGCGCTCGGCTCCCAGTGGGCTCCCTCTGCCGACAGCCACCCCAGCCAGCCCCCACGCCACCGCTGCACACCCGCTCTGCACGATGCTCCGGGCGCATCCTCTCTCCCCTGGCCCAAAAATTTGCACCGGGAAAAAAATCCAGCCCCAAAATGCATCCCGCTGCCCCCAGAAGCTGGCACAGGCTCAGAGCTGCCGGTCTTGCCAGAGGAAATTCTGGAGCACAGCCCATGGGACAGTGCAAGAGTCCAGAGCTGCCCCCCCATCCTCCTGCTGCTGGACCACAGGAGCATTTAGTGACGCATATATATAAATACAAATGAAATATTTCATTTCCTTTTTTTAAAAAAAAAACCAAATACCTGACAAAGTGCTTGACTGAGGATCCTCATCGGTGAGGCAGGAGTTGGAAGGTGTTTGACAGGAGATGTGTATGAGAGCAGGGGAAACTGAGGCACAGCATGGTTATATCCACAGCGGCTGGCCCCAGGAGGGGACCCGGCTGCTCTCAGACCTGAGCCGTGGCCACCAGCCCCACTCCTCCCCCCAGGACAGTCCCGACGCCCCATGAGTGCCGCGGGGCCACCAGTCCACGTGCTGGGAAGTGTCACCCATGGGACCAAGGTCATGGTCTCCAAAAAGGCATCAGGAGCTCTGCCCGGCTCCCTGGCACTGTCACCGCAGGGGGATCCCCCGCTCGGGTGCCAGATGGCAGCGGATCGAGGGGGGACGGGGCCACCGTGACCCAGCAGCGATTTGGGAAGCTGCTGGTTTGGGACAGCAGCTCCGGAGAGGTGGGAAGCAGCAAGTCCTGGGATGCGCAGCCGGCTGGTCCCGGCCCGCCAAGTGGCAACTGTCCTGTGGCCTGGCCTGGCCAGCCTCTGCGGGTGGGCTGGGGTGGGTGGGGGGCTCAGACCCCCCGGGCAGGGCTCCAGCCTTGGGCATCATGGGGTCCAACAAGCCTGGGCCGTGCTTGCGCAGGACAGCCCGGAGCGCGGCAGCATGCCCGGGGTCAGCAGCAGCTCTTCTTGGGCTTGTCGTTGGGAGTGAGTTTGATGGAGTCGGTTAAATAACTCTCAAAAATCCCTTTATACTGGAAAAAAAAAAAAAAAAAAACAAAGAGAAAGGGTGAGTGGCATCAGCTCAGAGCCAGCCTGAGTGAACCGCAGGACAGGTTCAGCCCTGATTTGTGATTAAAGGAAAAATCCAAGGAAAAGCCCAGGGGTGGGGCCACCCCTTTGCTTGGCGTGGGGACACGAAGGTCCCCGTGGGATGGCCACTAGAGGACAGTGCTGGCACGCTGTGCGGTGCCACACACCCCATTCCCATCACCGTGGGCAAAGAGAAATAGCAATTCTTACTCTTTTCTAGCTGGTTTAAGGTCTATTTTAAGAAATCGGACACTGAGGCATTTCTCTTTCCTGGGGCTCTCCTGTATGTTATAAGTAGAAGCTATTCTGCATCAGAGGGTGGGCTGGGGGGGGTCTGTCAGGCCAGCTCCGGGGGGTGGCTGAGTCCGGCTCCCACCCAAAATAAATCCCTGCTGCCAGCCCGGGCTCGGAGCAGGCGCGATGCTCACCGTGGTTAACGCCTGCTTTGCGAGGGTCTCGAAAGCCTCTGCGACGTTGATGTTGTTCTTGGCGCTGACTTCAAAATAAGGGATGTCTTTCTCCTTGCACCAGGCTGAGGCAATCTCCTTGGGGACCTGCAGGAAAGGAGGATGGAGCCACAACACAGCCGCGGCTGCTGGGGGGTTGGCAGAGGGGACCCTCCTCGCCCATCCGGGCATTGTTGGGTGAGGGCAGGGTGCAGGCAGCTATCTGAGATGTTTAATTCCTGCTGTCTTCAGCAAGGACAGTCTCTGCCATGAAGGGCAGCGGGGGGGAGCGCTGCTTGTGCCCCCCCGAAAGGCATGGGGGAGGTGGCAGCACTGAGTGCCCAGCAGCTCCTCGCCCAGGAGCCCTGGTTTTCAAGTGGGCATCAGAAGAAGGCTGGCTCTGCTAAGGATCAGCACTCGGAAGCTGTTGGGGCACAGAGACACCCCCATCTACTCACCCCACTCCCCCCCACCCTTACCTGGCGATCGCAGATGTCTATTTTGTTCCCCAGCACGACCATGGGGAAATCTTGCTCCCTTGGAATGACCTTCTCCAGAAAGTCATCTCTCCAGTTGTCCAGGGACTCAAAGGACTCCCTGTCCGTCACGTCGAAGGCCAGCATGCAGCCATCTGAGCCTTTGTAAAAGGTCGACACCATGGACCGGAATCGCTCCTGTCCCCCCGTGTCCCAGATCTAGGGCAGAGAAGAGCACAGGTATAGACACACGATGCGAGCGGTGCGGGTGTTTGCAGCCCTGTGCTCTGTTAAGCTCAGGGGACCAGCTTCAGGGGAGTGCTGAGCCCCCAAAACTCATGTGGGATTTCAGTTTAGTTCATGGATGCTCAAGGCTGCTGAAAATCAGGCCCTGCTAATCCCCCCCCACACCTCATGGCACCAGTTTGGGGACAGCAGGACAGGGTGGGACACACGTACCCCATGGGCACCCCGGGCAGTCCCAGCCCCCCTCACCTGCAGTTTCAGGGGGGTGTTGTCCACTGCCACGACTTTGGTCAGGATGCTGGCGCCCAGCGTGGTGCGGTAATCTTCGTAAAACGTCTTGTGCACGTACTGGTGCAGGAGGGAGGTTTTGCCCACGCTGGCGGGAGGGGATGGACATGAGCGAGGATTTCACTGCAAAGCCAAGCTCAGGGGGAGGGTTGCAGCAAGGACGGGGCCTGCGCACCCCCAGGCTCCCGAGCCAGCGCACACGCGGGGCTTCCCTCCCATCGCCAGCGCCGCTCCTTACCCCAGAGCTCCTATGATAATTATCTTCAGATCCACCTTCTTGCTGGCATCCATGGATGGGCTCTGTGGGACCAGAGGGGGGGTCACCCGGCTGTGGGGATGGGACTGGCTCCCGGTGAGCCCTGTGGTGCTGGTCAGGTGTGGGAGCAGCCGCTGCTCCCCACGGCCCCACCCCACTCTCACCCTGGCCATCTCGGGTCCCCAGGTGCCACCGTGTCTGCACGGTGCCAGCACCATGTCCGTGCCATGCCAGCACCCTGCTGTGCTCCTATCCCGGCGGTGGTGGGGGCAGAAATCCCCGTGCCAAGCCCGGCCCACGTCACCTCCCGGGACCGGCTCCTGCGGTGCCAGTGCACGTCCAGACACGCCGCCGCACCGCACCGAATCCTCACCATTAAAAGCTGCTGGGAAAAACTTCCCTGCCTCTCCCTCTAAAGCGCAATCCCACCCCCTAAACGTGACACACAGTGCGTTCTGGGGAAAATTACATTTATTAAAGATGACCACGACCGGCTGGACTTTGTGGGTGCCCCGAGCACAGCCCAGGGATGCCACCCAGCCCGGGAGCAACCCCGAAAGGGTGGTGCTCCCCACAGGCTGCATCCCCAACATGTCCTGGTGTCCCCACGTGCTCTGTGCCCGGCTGTCCCAAGCACCCACCCCCAGCAGCCCCTTCCCCAGGCAGGGACGAGCATCCTCCATCGCTCTCAGCAGCTCCGCAGCAGCGCCGGCCACGGCACCAGCCAGGGTGCAGATGGAAGCACTTACTGACAGCCACATCTCTGCATTTTTCCCCGATGCGTTGGCCAGCCCTGCGCCATTCCCCCTTGGCACTTTGCCCTTCCCAGGGCGGCTCTTGGCCAGGGGGTCCAGGCTCTCCCGCACCCCCTCTGCCACCCCAGCCCGGCCGTGGGCATCATCCTTGGCACAGGCAGAGCCTCGTGTCTCAGCCTGCGCAAACTTTCCAGTTGTTTTGCCAGCTTTCTCAGAGGCCAGGCGGTTTTAAACTCAAAATGGAGTTTCCCAACCTTTTTGCCCACCGACTGCTGCGCCAGGGGTCCCCCGCTCAGCTGCGGTCTCGGTGGCCGAGGGGAAAGGAGGGGACAGAGGGCGATGCCACTCACCTGCCGGGGCATCCGTCTGCCGGGCGGCCAAGGCTCTGGGCTCCGTTCCAGCCGGCGTCCCGGGGAGGGAAGAGAGGAGAGAGGAGGATCCAGGGAAGGGCGGCCAGCCCCGGGGAAGGCGGCTGCGGGGCCCCGCGCCGTGACATCAGCAGAAAGGGGCCGAGATCCTGCCGGAGCTGGCGGAGGAACCGCGGGCGGGTGCTGGGATGTCAACGGCGTTTCCCTCGGCTCTGGGGCTGTGCCGGGCGCTCCCAAGCTCCGGGGCTGCTAGGGGGGAAAGAGAACAAGGCTCCTCTCATTCCCCCAGGGTTTGGGATTGACTTTTGGCCTCTCTTCTTCCTCAGGATCCCCTGGTACCTTTTACCCACCTCCTGGGGACCCCTTATCTGCGTTCCTGCTGGGGGATTATTTAGGGCTGAGAACAAAACCCCAGCGGGGCTATCAGCAGCATCCCTGGAGGAGACGCAGGAGCCACCTTGGACTTTGCTCAGGCAGCTCCGATAGCGTGGGACGGGATAAGCAGCCTCAGGAGCTGGGGACGGGGCGGGGGGCAGTGGCAGGCACGGTGGGGCTCGGGGGCTCAGCCTGGCAGAGAGCGGGGAGAGGGGACTGCGGGCTCTATGTGGCTTTGTCCCCTTTTACAGGCAGGGGAGGGGCAGGGTGAGAAGCAGGAGCGTTTGCAGCCCCTCGGTGCACCGTGCCACATCCCTGCAACCCCCAGTTCTTAGGGGCTCCCACCCAACACCCACGGTCAACACCGTCATCCCATGAGCATCCCAAAAGGAGAGGACCACGTCAGGATGGAGCCCCAGGAACCAGAGGTGGTGGCAGCTGCTGGAGGATGATGTGTTCAACCCTCAGGTGGGATTTTGGGGATCTCACTGCCACCACAGAGCAACCGAGGAAGCCTCTGGCCACCTCTCCGAGCATCAGGCTGGTGGAAAACCTGCTTGGCCATGGCTGCAGAGGCAGAGCTGTGCTCCCCGGCGTGCAAGGGCAGGTCCTGAGCCTCTGCCAAGCATTCAGTAGGATTTGGGGTTTGTACCGGGAGCAAGGTGTTCCCCCATCTGTGAATCCTTCTGGCTCCCTCACCCTGAACAACAATGTCCAGTGGCCTCAGTGGGACCCCACACCCAGGGACCTGGGGGTCTCCCAGTGGGGGTCCCTCCTAGGCCACCGACTTTTGATTTTCCACTTCTTTTTCTGTAGATTTATTTTTTTCTTTTCTGCTGTAGACATTCTTTATGGGATCTCAGGGAAGATTGCTGCACTCAGCAAGACAAATCCTCCTCCTTCTTTCCAGGTGTAATTCTGGGACCTGTCTGGCCAGAAAAATCTGTTTTTCCCTCCACAGGGCAAGCATGGGGAGGAGCTGGGGTGAGACAGGAGAAGCACCTGAGCCAGTTCTCACCGGTGTGGGTAAGAAGCTGATGTTTCCCTGGAGCAGATATCTCCTAATCCCTATTTTCAGCCTATTTTCATCATGCCGCTTTACCTTTGCCCCTGCAGCAAGACTCTGTTGTCCAACCTCCCACCCCGACTGCTTCTGCCCTCGTTCCTGTCCACGTGTCCCTCTGAGCCCGGTGGGATGGAGGTTGCTCACCCGGTCAGATGATTGATGCCTCTCCACGCCGGTGGGGATGGGGTTTGCGGTTGAATTGCTACAGCTGATGCCTGCAGCCACTTCTGCTTTCGGGCAGGAGGGGCCGTACCCCTCAGGGCACCCAGCCTGGGCTCAGCACCGGAGCTGTCTTTTGTTCGATTTCGCAAGAAAAAGGATTTTCCCAAAGCTCCTGCTCTCCTTAATGCTCCTGTGTGAGCTTCGCCCCAGATGAAGGCAGAGGGAGTGGTGGTGTAGAAGAGATGATGGCCAAGATGTTGCTCAGCAGCTTCTGCGACCACAGCTACAGCCCTCTCTCGATTGCTTCACCAAGTCAGCAATTCTGAGGAAAAAAGCGTGGTTTTTTTGCCCTGTGACTATGAGGAAGATCTTGCAGCTAGGAGACAATGGAACACAGACTGCCACGTCCAGAGGAAAGGCTCGCGTGGACAAGGAGAGGACAGGCTGTTCCCTGCGGCAAGGCTCGCAGGGCAGTGAGAGCGAGGGAAGGGGAAGAAAGCAAAAGGCATCCAAGTGACTAATCTGTTCCCTACAGCTGTCCAGCCACTTCTGCTCCCTGGAGGACAGCGGGAGCTGGGATGCTCCTTGTTGGGATGCTCGGTATTTGCCGGAGCAAGATCCCCTGAGCATCTGCCATGTGTGGGGAGGAGGGCTGGAGAGGACCACCCAAAACCTGGCAAGCAGACACGGGATGCTTGGGGACCCCAAGAGCACACAGCACCGGAGCAGTCCTGGGCAAGTCCAAGCTGGGCCACCTCCTGCTGCTGGCCAGTGTTTGGGGACACTGAGTGGTCCCTCGTTGTGCTGGGAAGCTGGATGCTCCCCTGCTGCCTATGGCTGTGGTGATGGGCTGGTGCCCAGCAGCACCTTGGTGTGCTAAGAGTTAAGCTGGAAGAGGGAGAAGAGACCTTTGTCCAGCTGCCCCTGCACCTTATCTGCACCGGGGAAAGCACAGCCGAGGTGAAGTCAATACAGGAACAAGTTACAGAAACCATATGCTGGTCAGTGGCACAATCAGTGTTTCTGAGTGAGGCAGATAGTTTCTTTTATTGCAGACCACAAGGCTGAGCCGCAAAGTTTACAACCACATCTGATTTTTCCAGCACTCTCGGACCCCACCCTGAAGTCTGCTCCAGTTTGGGAAGGGTGCCCTGGCCACGGGAACCCCGGCACCTCGGCCCCGACGCTGCAGGGCATCGCTTCAGTGCCAGCCAGGAAAGCTGAGCGAAGGCACAGATAAAAATAACCCTTCTCTGTGCTTCCTTTTCTCGCTGCCTTCCCTGGGTGTCTCAGGATGCATCACGCATGACCCACGATTGCTCATGCTTTCTCCCGCATCCCTTGCATCGTCAGCAAGTCACATGCCCCGTGGTGCCTCCCGGGGAGCCCTGTGGCCAGCAGCTGCCCCCCTTCCCCTGGGCCCCCGAAGTCCCCTGGACCCCCCACCCTCCGAGCCAGCCCAGCCTGTGCCCAGTGGCTGCAGGGCTCGGCAGCACGCAGCTGGTTTGCCCTCTCTTGCTTCGAGCACCCACTGACCGCATTGTCTTTGTGAGTGCCCTGGGCATCAAAGGAAAATTAACGGGAAATCACTGTTTTTTTCTGAGAGTTTTGTGGCACAGAAAGAGCCCCAGGGTCTCTCCAGTTTCCTCATTACCTTCTTGTTTACCAGCATCAGCTCAGCCTGCGGAAGTGACACATTTCTCCCCAGCCCCAGCCCTGCCCCTGCCCACAGCCGTCGCCTCAGGCTGGCGGGGAGCTCGGGGGGGATGCACACAGCCACCTTGGGGGACTTGCTGCTCTACCTGGGCAAAGTGTCCCCTTCTGCCCATGTGGAAATCCCAGCTAAGGACCACAGAGGCTGACCTTTCAGATCCAGCGTCTCCTGAACCACCAAGGCTCCCTCCAGAGAGGGGAAACTCCAGTAGCACCGGGCACGCAGCCCTGGCAGTGCCGTGGGTGCACAGATGCTTTTAGCTCGCTGCGGGGGGAGGGCAAGGTCCAGGGAAGGGGGATTTAACACCCCAGTGCAACCCAGCTGAGATCTGCAGGATTGCTGCTGTGCTAATCAACATGAGCACGGCAGGTTTTGCTTTATTAAAGCTTTTATTGACCCGTGTTTAAAAAAATGAGAATCTGCGAAGCAGATCACAGAGCCGCTCAAGGCATTTTTATATTCATTGTGAAATGGCTTCCTGGCATTCACTGGACTTCTGCTGGGCTCTTCAGCTGCGGTCCCCAGGTGTCTTCATCACCTCCGGGGACGCTGCTGCAGCGGTGAGATCCCCTGCCCTGCCCGAGGGCAGCAGCCCCGTGGCTCCGTTCCCCTCCTGCCCCCCCGGGATGCCACAGCCCTAAGGGACAGCGGGGGCCAACCCCACCCTGTTGTTGCCACGGTCAAAGACGGAGTAAAACTGACGGATGAAAACGTCGCCCAAAATCCAGAGGGGTCCGGCGGGAGGGGCGATGTCCATGCCCTGGAAGCCGCTGGTGCAGAAGGCCATGCCGTCGCTGTACTCCTGGGGAAGGAGAAGTGCCAAGCTGGGGACGAGGCTGAGAGCCTCGTGCACGTGGAAGCACGCAGGGACGGTGACTGCGGGTCCCGTGCACGAAGCAGTGGGGCTTGCAACCCGCTGGGACCCGTGGCTCAGCTCCCAGGGTGGCTCTGGGCCACCCTTGTCTCCAGAGCCATTGGGAATTGGGGGGGGTGGGTGGGTGGTGGGGGTGCCGCTGGAGCCGCAGCCGTACCGTGAGGGTGTAGGCCTGGGCGCCGAGCGTGTAGGGGAGCCCATTGATGGTGAAGGTCACGTCGGGCATCACGTTGAGGTTGCTGCACTCCACGACGTACTGCGAAACAGCCGGGCAGCTCAGCGGCGCTGCTGCACGGGAGGTCCCTCCCGGCAGGGTTGGGGTCCCAGGGCTTTGCCCCCCCCCTCCTCTCCCCACCCTTGCTGTCACCTCTCCGTCCACAGCTGTGGCGCCAATATAGCTTTGCAGTTCTTTTATATCCTTGGTGGGGCCCGTGATGAGAGACGTCCCGGTGTCCACGATGGCCTGGCAGCCGTCCACGCAGAAAGTCACTGTCCCACCCAGCTGGATGCTGGAGGAGGAGGAAAGAGAGAAGGACCAGGAGGGATTTGTCCTGCTCCCCTGCCCCAGCCCAACCCTTCCCTCCCTGCCCAGCACCACTCACTTGTCCAGCTGGATCTGCCAGTACCCTTGCTGGGTGACTGGCACCCAGTTCAGGGTCCCCGTGAAGCGAGAGGGGTCAAAGCCACCAAAGAGCAGCTCTCCTCCCAGGGAGGATTCGGGGTTCCTGGTGGGAGGAGGAGACATGAAGGGTTTCCTCTCTTTTATTTTGCACATTGCGTTTTAAACAGGTGGATTTATACCCACTCGCTTCCCACAGATGCCTAAGGTCATTTGCTTTATTTCTGCAAGGCCTAAGTTCTATGATGATCATCACGATGCCAAAAAAACCCCCTTACTACCTCAGTAACATGTCCTTATTTTAGCAGCCCCTTAAAAGCAATGCCAGGGTCTAAGCAAAAGCCTGGAGCAAAGCCATGTCCGTACGTGCTCAGGTAGACGGAGAACATGGGCAGCTCCACCAGATTTTGTGCCATCATGTTGTCAAAGACAGGGGTGACCCCATCCACGGCCAGCGAGGGGTAAGCCAGCCCCAGGATCCCGTCGAACTCGGCGTCCAGGAAGGCTTTTCCTGGCTCACTGACGCTCTCTGCAAACTGCTGGTTGCTCACGGTAAGGCCCTCAACCTGGGAAGAGGAGGAGGAGGAGGCTCGATGGTGGTGCTGAGTCTGTAGGCACATCCCAGGCACGTTGTCCAGAGCAGGAGAAACCAAAGATAACTCACAATTACTTGGTCAGATCCAATGACTCCTGTCAAGCTGCCGGTCCCGTACTGGATGGAGAAGGGGGTCCCTATCGCCTGGTATGTGCTGGACTGGGATGGCTGAAACTTGGTGTGCTCAGCTGGGGAAGGAGACGGGAGCTGTCAGCAGAAATGTTATTTATCTGCACGGCCACGGGTGCCAGGACCCCCCGCCACGGCCAGTGGCAGTGACCGGCCTCGGAGCAAACCGATGGGGCAACGTGGCATCGCCGAAACGCCCGTGTGCCGGGCGTGCTGCCGGGGGACAGGGCTGCTCATAAGACAACGGGGCATGCCGGCGTTTCGAGGAGGGATAAAACCCACCCCGTGTCAATCTGCCTGAAAGATGCGAGGTTTGTTAAGGGGAGCGGGCTTAGCTTGTGCAATATTTTTATGAGACCTGAAGATCAGCGCTGCTGTCCCTGTTTTACAGGCAGAAGCAACACCAAGGGCACTGCTGTACCCAACAATTTTCCCCAACCTGCCTTGGGCTCTGTTGGAAGCACCCAAGGAGCCCAGGGGCTGCTCGGAGCTGCTCCATGTCCCAGGACAGCCGGGCTGGACTTGCCAGGGCTGGCTTATCACTGACAGCCTGAACAAGCCCAGTGCCTGTCACCCGCCGAGCCCCTGGGCAGCCAGCCCGGAGCCGTGCCGTGCTCTGCACCCGCCTCGTTCCTGCCACCCAACCCCTTGCTGACAAGCCCTATTATGTGCTGTCATCTTTGCTTGTTTGTTTAAAGGCTCTCCCATAAGAATGGCCTGAAGAGCACGTCCGATATCTCCCGCAGGCTGATGGTGCTGGCGGTGTGATCACCGCCTGCGCCCGAGGAAACCAACCCGCCGAGGCTCCCCCTGCTCACCCCCCCCCCCCCCCCCGATTTCTGTTAGCCCTGTGTGCCTTGGAGGGCTCAGCTGGGTGGGGAGATCCCCCCAGAGTCCCTGGGCTGTGTGTGCTGGTGACCCCACAGCCTCTTTGGGGCCACCCCAGGGGTGTCACCCCGGGTTCCACTGCAGCCAGCCGGAGGGGGGACAGTCGGTTGGGGAGCCCCTACTCACCGCAGGCTTTGCTGACGCAGTAGACAGACGGCACCCAGAGGTTGGAGGAACCCGTGTCGAATATCACGGTGAAGTTCTGGGGGGGGGTCCCGATGGAGATCTGCCCGAAATACTCCATCTAGCAAAGAGCGGAGCCGTGAGTCGTCGGCACGCCGAGAAATCCTGGCAAAGGGGAGCCTGTGCCTGGGTGTCTGCAGAGAACTGATGGGGTTCAGTGCAGGGGGTGGCTGGTACCGGGGCAGCGTTTGATCTGTCGTGGCCACACTGTGCCAGGTGAAATAAAGGAGCCAAATATTTAAGGCAAGCCGGGAACAAAAGGCAAGATGGTGGCTGCAGGTGCCATCCTCTTCCTGCTGGATTCAGCGGGAAGGCTCTCATCATTAAGGTAATTCGCTTTATTTCTGCAAGGCCTGAGTTCTATGATGCTCATCACGGCACCAAAAATCCCTCATCCTCAGGATGCAGACAGTGACGGGGGCTTTGGGGACAGGACCCTCAGGCTGTGGGGGATAGGAAGAGCCCGGGGAACACCCTCCACCTCTGGCTCTGGGTCCTTTGTGGTGGGGTCTTCCCTGATGCGTGTGAGGTGTGTTAGTTTTGGAGGAAATGTGTCTGCCCGCCGTGTGCTCGAGAGCGCCGCGGGCTCGGGGAGTGCAGAGGGCAGGGAGGGGGCTGGCAGCGCCTGCCGTGAACGCGCTGCCTCGTCCCCTCTCATCATCACAGCCCTGGGAACAAAGGACCGGCGGGCAGGGCAGCGAGCCCTGGCACGCTGGGGCACGGGCTCCGTTAGCCGCCGTGGGCTTTACGGGCAGCGTTTGGGTGGTGGGGATCACTCATGCAAAGTCATGCCTTTCGGGGTGTCCGCGACCCGCTGCTGGGACTCGGCACCCCGCAGCCCTCGGGGCCACCGCGCTTACGTCCAGGTAGTTGATGAGGGGCTCGTTGACCTCCGTGAAGGCAGCGCAGTCCTCGCTGTACTGGACCGTGTCGAGCCTGTGGGCTTTCCAGAAATGGGAGAGCTGCCCCCGGTCCCGCAGCAACTTCCGCAGGGAGCGGTGCCGCCTCAGGGTCACCCTGGGGGAGCAAAGGTCCCGGTCACTCGCCCGGGGCTGCGGATGTTGCCAGTGTCCTGAAGTCCCCGTGTTCACCCTGAAGGTCCCAGCATCTCCAGGATGCAGGTCCAGAGCCTGCTTCCCCGCACCCCCCACTGCAACGCTTTCCAGCCGACAAGGGGGGGACTTAATCTGTTTGAGCAGGGTGCAGCTGGCAGGAGGGCATGCGCGCCCCAGCACAGGCCTGCTCGCAGCGGCGGGATGGGCAGGAGCTCAGCGTGACTGGTGGAAAAGAGCCTTCAGGCTGGGAAAAAGGACCAGGGCCAGGGTGAATTCGTGCCGGTGTTTTCTGCCCCGTCTGCTCTCACAGGCCTCGGCTGCGGCCGGCGGCTCGTCCTGCTGAGGGGGTCTGCCCGGGGGGATGGACACGGCCACGGAGCCGACGGACCGATGGAAGCAAACCGACAAAACATCCACGTGGTCCCCGCAGCCCCGGGGGGAGCTCAGCTCTGCTGTTCATCACTGCCCCGCTCAGCGCTGGCAGCTCCCCGGCAGCGAAACCCCTCCGAGAGCCGGGGGGGAGCCGGGGTGCACCCTGGGGACCCCCTTACCTTTTGAAGCTGCTGGCCAGGGAGAGGCAGAGCACGGCGAGGAGGAGGAGGCGCTTCATGCCGGCGACTTGGCGGGACGGGTGCGGGCAGCGCCGCGGCGTCGTTCTTATAGCGACAGGTACACCCGCGCCCCGGTGCACCAGCGCCCGCGATAACGCCCCTTTCAATGTCAACACGGGGCTTTGGCAGCGGGAATGAATCACGGGCCACGTCCCAGGCGAGGCAGAGCGAGGGCCCCGGGGTCAAGTTTGGTTTTGTGGGCGAGGGGCCGGCGGAGCGGGGCGGTGAGCGGGGACCTGCCGGGCTGTGGCAGCTGCTTTTGGGGGGGGCAGCGAAGGTCCCGCTGCGGGAGCAGAACGGGGTCTGCACCCCAACGCTGGCTCCTTATCCCCTGGAAATCGCACAGCCCAGCTGAGCGGGTGGAACGCCCCCCCCAAATTGCTCTGGGGGAGCCTTTCCCCTTTCCACGGGGTGCCCCACACCCTGACAGCTCTGAGGGGGTGCAAGGAAGGAATGTGTCTGCAGCATCCGGCAGCTGCTGAGCAAACTTTAAAAGGTAAAGGCTAATTAGCAGTGATGAACTGCTCGGGAATCTGCAACTTTCCCTTTTAAATAGCCGTCAGTGCCATCAAAGCGCAGTCAGGAAGGAGCAGCTTTGCACAGGAGACAGTTACATGTCACTTTACAGCCACTAACGGGCTCTTCCCCAGTGGCTGATTTTCGTTTAACACAGGACGGCCGTCTCATTAAGCCTCTGTGAATGCGAATAAAAAATGCTAACGAACAAATAAAGCCTTCAGATCCAGAGGGGAGGCGGGTGGGGGGAGGCGAGGATTTTCTTGCTGCCACCATCCCTCCGACATGCGGCTGAAGGCTTGTGATGGTGCTGTGTCATCTTTGTGGTTGTTTTTCACGTTTCTGATGCTACAAGAACTGGTGACGGGTGTCATGAAGGGAGTTGTTTTACCCAGTGAGTATCATTCATGTAATTGGGGGGGGGTTTTTCTACCCTTACTGCTGTGCTAGTCGATTTTCCATTTATCCTTTTAAATCTGGTTTATCTAATTAAAGTCCTCACCCTGAGAAATTGAAGTCCTCATCTGTGAGGCGCAGGTACCGGCGGGGCCGTGAGCCCAAGGCGGCCCCACGCAGCCCCGGCTGATGGGGGGTGGCCGGAGGGCGAGCTGGGTCGTGTCTCCTGTTAGGGGGGACTCGTGTCTCCATCCCGGGGAGATGCTGACGCGCTCTTCCTCTCCCTGGCTTTGCCGGGAGCTTAAGCTTAAAAAAAATCTTATCAAAGGTTTCCTGGGTGTGAGCTCGGAGACTCAGAGTCGGCGCTGATGGCAGTTGCAGCCGTTTTTTCCAAGTCAAATGAAAATTCCCTGCACTTCCTCATGCCCAGGTTGGTAGCTGCAGTATTTTTACTGAGTAGCTTTTATACACATTTATTATTTATTTCTCTTTAAAGATACAGTTTAATGTACTGGCCCCCCTTCTTGTCCTAATCATATGTTCCTAGGAGGGATTTTAAAAAATCCTTCCTAAAACAAAAGCAATTGCAGCAAGTGCCAGATCATCTGAAAGCAGCAAGTTGATTGTTGCAGACACTGTTTATAATCCAAAAATCCTGTAATAAAATCCAGCCTGAAGGATCATTTGGCTTCTGAGATAAACATGAGTGTGAGTTGTAGTAAAGACAAGCTGAATACTTTAAGCAAAATAGTTTTTTTAGTGGAAAAGATCCTCAATTTAGTCATAATAATCTGCAAACTCATGACAGTTGATTCAGTGTTAAAATAAGAAGATGAAAGAAATAAAGAGGCCACACATTTCATTCAGAAATTTTTGAAGTTAATCAAATCTGTTTCTATTTTTGTTTAGTTATTTGAAAAGTAATTTTAAAACCCAAACCCTTAAAGGTAAATCAAAAGTTTTATTTCAAGTCGAACAAAACGGGTTTTTTCTTTCTTTCAGAATCCAGTGCAAGACTTGGCCATATTTGTCCAAAAAATTGGGGAAAAAAAAGGCTTTATTTCATCCATACTTTCAACTGTACCTCAGTGTTTGCAATACACTGCATATGCAGATGGAAGAGCAGCTGCGTTTTCAGGACACGCTGCCCGTCCCTGCCTGCGCCTGGGGCATCTGTGCCGCCTTTACGGCGGAGAGAGCCCAGAGTGACGGAGCCCAGCGTGCAGAATTATTTATAAGTCTGGGGCCTTTGAATCCATCTTGTTAATAAAACAGCAGAAAAAGAACCTTACATTCAGTAGAAATGCAATGAAACATGACTGCCAGCTACTGGAGCATCCCAGGTCTTATAAGAAATATATGGCCTATATATAGTCCTGTACTGCTTCCAGGCAGTAGCTGTCATAAAGAGTGTCTTACCCCATCCAGCTTTACATACTTTCTCTCAGATATGTTAGAAATAGCTTATGCACCTTGCGTGAAAACTATGCTTTACTCATTTTAAGAAACCTGCTTTCAGGCTAAAAATAAGTTTTCTGTGTTCTTTTTTTTTTTTTTTTTTTTTTTTTAATATATATTTCCTTTGGTTTAGCCACTTTCACGATTAGCTCTGATTCAAATCGTACCCAAGCAGCATTTTCTGAAAGGCCTTTTTTCTCTGCTTCTCAAATACTTCTTCCACCTGTTAATCTGTATATACATCACTGAGCACTTGAAAGAGTGAAACCCTGCAATAGCAAACACTCACTTTAAAAAAAAAAAAATAAATAAAAACAAGCAAGCTTCAGTTAAATATTTACCCATGGCACAGAAGTGGTGGGTAAAGCAGGACTAAAATCCCCCCGTGACGGAGCTGATGGACGTGGTCCCTGCGATCCCAGGGGATGTGAGGGAAATGTGGGCAGCGACTGGGCCACGACGGGGACCTGGCAGGGGACCCCAACTCCTGGGGATGAACCTCGACGGTGGCTGGCACCTGGGCGTGAGTAGTGATTTAGTGATTTGCAGGAGCCGGTCTTCTCTTTGCCTTTAGAAAGTTGGGGGGATGCACTGAGCTGCTGGGGTGCTATCTCCCTGGGAGAGGGTCGCTGTGGTGGTGTGGGGATGGTGGGGATGTTTAAACACCAGCAGGCACCGTCCCCATGAGTCAGGGACCCCGCGAGAAGGGGGAGCCCCTCGCTCCCTGCCCATCTCCTGCCAGGGAAGGAGCGCAGAAGCTGCCGCAGGGCATCTGCAGCACCAGGACACTGCTTGGGGGTGAGAGCTGCGAGATCAGCTCCTACGGGGCAGAGGCATCACGGTCCCCAAATCTGCTGCGAACTGACAAGAGTGAGTCTGCCACTCTGCCGTTTGCGCCCCGCCGTTATTAACTGATGCCACAAGTTACTCCTGACCAGAAAATTTTTCCAGAAAAAGGGCAGGTGGTGGCCCATTCACCCCCAGCAGACACCAAGCCATGCCAAGCTCCGGACCCGCGGCCCTTATGATTTAAAATGTTTTACCCCTATAGCAGTCTTTTACTTGGAAGCACGCAGCGCGCTTTTTGGGTGTCAGCTGAATTGCTCGGGGCTGACCCAGCTCCACCACTGCTGGGCAGAGCTCTCCGCCCTCGGGCACCACTTTGCTCCAGCAAATCTCAACTGCATTTTAGCACAAAACTGCTGGAAGACGGAGCAAGAGGGGAGTCACCGCCAAGGAAAACAACCCAGGGGGAGACAGCCAGGCCTGATCCCCAGCCCCGGATCAGAAGCAGGCGCAGAACAGCAGAGAAACACCCAAATATATGTAAATGAGCCAGTTGACAGAGGGGAAGCGTCACGGAACCTCGTGTGGGCTCGTTCCTGCCATCACCATCGGGGTAGGGCGAGACCGCATCCGGCACCGAGCCGGCGAGCGCCTCTGCTCCGCTGGGCCCCTGCGGCTGCACGGCCGCCCAAAATGCTGCCAAAACGTCCTTAATTCCGGCTCCCTCCAAGGCCCTGGCTGCCCAGGTCCTGGGGGAAAGGGAAAGTGCGGGAAGCTCCGGTCCCCCAGGTAAAACACCGTTGGATATTGCTTTCCCCCCGCCGTTGCATGCGATGCCTCGGGAAGCGGAGGGGTCGTTCATCGGGACGGGAGCTGGGTTCGGCGTCGGTGCCCGAGGGGTGCCTGCAGGCGTGCATCACTGCCAGCCTGAGCTTTAGCCTTAACCCGGGGAAGCAAGGCCTGGCTCAAATCGGATTAAGATAATTTGAGGCACTTCTGTGATTTTGTTTACCTTTAGATTGAGCGTAGACATCTTGGATTCACTACAGCCAAGTAGGAGCTCTTTACAAGCCTTGATTTCAGAAGGACATCTTGCTTGAGAAAGGGTTAATAACCTGGGGGCTAGAGGGAGGGAGGCTCACAGCAAGTTTACTCTACACCAAAAAAGTACATGTGCTGCTGCCAGCATCTTACTGGCTGTTATCTTCAAAATAGATATTTCAATACGTGCCTGTGTATCATCTCTTCAATCTCGCCATACCCCATCTCAGCAAAGAAGCTGCCTGCTACTGATATTTGGATTCGGGTCTTATTTTGCAATTTCCTTTTGAACAGCTCATTTTTCAGATTGTTATCTCCTGCAGCAGCATCTCCTGCCCCACAATAGGAAATGAGCCATTTAAGAATGACAGCCATTTGAGAAGGATATTTGGGGACAGATCAGTTCAATAAGGGAGGGGGAAAATTCCAGCAAGAAATGTACTTTTTGCTTAGCAATTTCCAAACTGTTTGGGTGAGTGGAATTCCGCAGGAGACTGATGAGGCTATTGGTAAAGCTTTTGATAAATTACCCTGGGAGATATGTCATAAAGAAAATCATAGAATCTGATCCATAGGATGGATAATGCCTTTGCTTTAACTATCAATCTATCTATCCGTCTATCAATCATATTATCATGGCTCCTTAATCATCGTATCAAAGCTTTAGTTGAAGATACCTCCCTATGTTAGCCATTTATAAACACTAAGTATGTAGGCATTGAGTGAAGATTTGAAGTGCTTTTTTGCAAGAGAAAGCTCACAAAATAGATGCCCTGGTTGCTGTTCATGATTATAAACCTCTTCAGTATTATGGCCAAAAGTTGCAAGGCAAGGGGCTCAGCTCAGGTGTATGTGTTTTCTGATTATGCACCTTAAGTCCTCTTAACTGCAACAAGATTTAAGCACTCGCCTAGAATTAAATCAGAGGTGTCTCAAATGCAGAGGTGTTGAAGGGCCCTGACCTTTCTCACTGGATCTCGACCAATGCAAGATCCTGACGCCAAACCCATGGCCTCCTTTTGGTTATTTTCTTTTATGGGATTTTTTTTTTTTTTTTTCCCAGATTACAATTATAAAATATTTTTTGCAGATTTAAAAAAAAAAAAAAAAAAAAGAATCGCAAGAGAGGATTAAAGCAAGAAGAATAAATTTCAGTTCTTGCTGCTATCAGCGCTGCGGTGGAGCCCAGAAGCTCCAGTCACCTATCAGATGTGACCGAGGCGGCAGTGTATCAAACCATTAAGCCCAGTGGTAGCGCCGGGGAGGGCGCGTGGCTGTGTGAGGGGTGCACACGAGAGAGGGACTCGCGCAGAGGGAGGGCTGGGAGCCTTTCCCCCACGTCTCCCACGCCGGAGCCCCCCTTTCAAGCGGCGAGCCTGATCTTCAGCTGACGTGGAGCAGCGTGGAGCTCCGTGGCACCATTTTGGTTGATTGCCACCAGGGCTAGCTGCCTCTTTCTCTGTGCGTGTGCGTGTGTGCGTGTGTGTGTGTGTGTCCCAAGACCTCCGACGCTTCGCCGGGCATCGCGCCGAGACGCTGGGCAGGGAGGATGAGCACTTGCGAGTGGTGAGTCCAACCCCCCCCGGGGTCCAAAAGCCGCCGGCCGCCCTTCGCGGCCCTCCTGCAGCGAGGGGAGCACTCCGAGGTGGACGGGGCACCTTTCTGCCGAGTTTCTCGGTCCTCGCTTGGCCGGGCTCGCGGATGCTGTGCTGGGTGTCGGGGGGGGTGGCAGAGCTGGCGGGGGGGGGGGGGGGGGGGGGGGGATGATGCTGCAGCCCCCGTCGCTGGTGACACCGCGCCGGCTTTTCGCTGTGCCGGGGCTCTCACGCGTTCTCGCTGGCCGGCCGCGTTCAGCAGACACACGGGCGCCTGTCTCAGAAAGGGCTGATTTTGGCCGGAGTCACCTTTGTAAATTCTCTCTCCCCACAAGCACTTGCACACATACACACCCCACACCCCCCCCCTGCTCCCCCTTCCCCCCCCCGCTGGCAATGAGACTTCTGAAAGCCCTTCTTAAGACAGGCACCCAAAAATGGAGTGCAAGGAGCACTAGTCGTTTTTGAAAATGAAGCCCCAGATTTTTGGGCCCATCACCTCCAAGACAAAAAAGCAAAACGAAAAACTGTACCAGCAAACCTTGGTCTAAAACATGCTTTGAAGCAATGGCAGGCAAACTGTACCTGAAAGTTTTCAAATAATTTGGTTATTTCTTCCACTTAGACAAAATATTTTTCTCTCGTTCAGGTGGGTGCTTGTTGCCATCTCAGCTGTCACCTTGATCCTCTACGCTCTCCTCTTGCTGACACTTTACATCATGCTCAGCAGGAAAATAGGTGAGCAGCTCTAAGTGGTGCGGGCAGTATCGGATGGGGTTATACAGCCTTTCATTGTTTCAAACCCATTTTCTTTTATTGCTCTTGTTAGTAAAGTGGTGGAAAAATACCATCAGAATCCGTTTGCAAAATATTAGTTTAGATGAAGATAAAATTTCCAGCAGGAAAATCTTTCACACAAAAATGCTGCCCACATTTGTACGTAAACAAGCCCTGCTTGGCCCCATGGGTCAAACTAATTTCCAGCTTGCATGGGAAGAGTTTGTGATGGCGTGATTTAACACTGGGGTGTCTCATCACAGGAGAACAGGGCACTCGCTTAATCATCTCAGTAATTGAACCGATAGATATTTGCCCGCTCCAATAGATAATAACAATTGTTGCTGTGCCAGCGGCTTGTGTGGAACTGGCTGTGCCGTGGGGCAGTGCTGGGGCTCGGGGAGCGGGCGGGGGTCCGAGCGGCGTGGTGCGTGGGGTGCGTGGGACACAGCGGGTGTCGTGGGCCGGGCAAGGTGCTAACTCGGCTCCTGGTTGCAGCCAGCCACTCCGGCAGCGAGGCGGCGAGCAGCAGCCCCGCGGCACGGCCCCAGCCGCCTCCGGCCTCCGCAGCGGGAGGGGAAGGGGTGCCAAGACCAGCCTACGTGGGTAAGGGGACCCTGCAGCCACGGGGTTTTCTCCTGGCACGTGAATCTAAATGTATGGTATTGCATTTGTGCAATCCTCTCTTCCTTGACTGGCTTTGAAAACCCTCATCTCCTGGCCTTGACCTTGGCCTTGGCCTTGACCTGGTGGAAGAGGGAGCAAGCGGCCGGGCGAAGGGCAGGCGCAGCAGCACCCCGCAATTCCACTTGCCTCCCGCCTTCCCTGGACTCTCCCTGCCCGGATCCCCACGGGCAGGGGGATGAAGAGGGGAGGGATCCCACCGGTGCTTTTTGGATTTTCAGTTTTCACTCTCGAGTGCATTTGCTTTTTCTCCCTGATTATTTTTTTTCCCCCTAACGCCCCAAGCAGCGATGGAGGTGGTAATGTTTCCTGTTTTTAAGGGAGCAGCGACACATCTTCAGAGACCTCGGAGGACTCGGACAGCAGCCCTTCCTGCTCGCAGGTACGGCCGCGGGCAGAGGGACTTTGCCAACAGCAACCGCGGCTCCTGCCCGGCTCAGGACCCACCGAGCAGCAATGTGGGGGGGCCAAACGCATCGAACCATGCTGAAATACCGGCCGTGAGGCTGGGGGGGTGGTTGTCACCTGCCCTACTCAACGTTCCCCATTTATTGGGAAGCATCCCCAGGGGTCAGGGAGATCCCTGGGCACAACCTTCGCGTGGGTTCAAGGGCAAAGCCCCCCCCCCGGGCGGGTGCTGGTGCCTGACCTGGGGTTTGTGTCTGCTTCCGCAGGGCCCTCGCTCAGAAGGAAACCTCAATTACACATCCCTGGTCTTCCCGGGGAAAGGCCACGGGCCAGGCTCCACCAGGGACTACGAGAACATGAAGATTAGGACAGACTACGTCAACGTGGACCCAAAGAAGAAGCAAGTGGATTTCTGGCCCTGCTCCAGCCCCGTGGCATCCGATTCCATCGAGTACACGGAGATGAAGCTGTGACACCCAGGACGCTGCTGCGGGGTGTCGGGTCAGATGCTGCCAGGACGGGGAGGTGCCCGAAGCCCCCGACAGCCGCACGCCCAGGGCTTCCCCTGGCCCTCGCCTCGGCCAGCGCCTGGCACGGGCTGACGCCTGCCAGCTTTTATTCCTTGTAACACTCTAACCCGCTGATACAATTTGCTTGGTGTTTTACTTAAATGCATCACTGTTCCTGAAGGCTGCTGAGCATGGGATGGCGCAGGGAGGCATTCCTCCTACCCAGGCTGAAAGGTACTCTCCAGTTTTGTGTGATGGCCCTTTTCCTCATTTCATGAAAGCAAGTGAAACATCCCCCCCTGCCCTTCAAAACGGGATGCAGTTCTGGGAGGGAAATTCATTGGTCTTCAAAATTCCCACTCAAACTGGCTGGCATCTCCTCTGAATGACGCTTTCTTTGCTGATCGCTGTCACAAAATAATTTTAAATACAGTTCCTCCACCAGCTTTGCCCTCACTGCCCGACAAGCCCTGTTCCATCAACCTCTCCTGCTCCCCTTTTCCCTGGATGCTCAAAATCTTTCCAAGTCCCCGTCGTCCTCAGAGCTGTCGCTGGGGCTGGGGTGGCTCGACCCCTGGCTATGCATCAAAGGGGATGCCAAGGAAGGAAGGTGGCCCTGCCAGGGAGCTTCCTCCCCCAGCTGAAAGCCGTCGTCATCAGCCCAGCTGGCAAACAGCCGAGGGGTTCCCAGGGGATTTATATCCCCCCTCCTTGGGTGGAGGGCCTGGGCTGGCTGCTGGTGCCTCTGGGCTGTGAGGGGGGCAGGACTGGACCAGAGGTCTCCCCAGGAGCACAGGCAAGTCAAATCCTTCTGTGTCTGGTGGGGAGGGGTGATATTCCCTGTTTCCCACCTTTTGCTTTTCCTGCACCCAACGCCCTGGGTGCAGGAGTTGACCTCCCCCACCTGAGCGATGCCTGTGCCCAGCAGAGCTGTGGAGGGGGGTTCAGTGCCCTGGGCTGGGGTGCACACCGCTGTCCCCCGGTGATCTCGCACCACGTTTCACCTTTTCCTTAAGCACTGGTTTAATTTCTAGGGGAACTGAAGTGCAGTGCTGCAATTTTCTCTAACAAAACTGAGTTGGGGGCTCTCTAGCTTGCGGAGATAAGCGTGGGATTGTGAACTGAGTATGCTGGGAAGGCTGTTATCTCCTCAGAGGTGCTGCTTCCCCTGCTCATCAGTGATTACAATTGTCGGGTCACCTTCATGCTCCTGAGGTCCAGAGAGCCAGTGCCTGTCTGGGGCTCGCTGTCCTCTCCCTGCCGCAGCAAATTGCGGCTGCAAATGGGGCCCAGTTCCTCCCACCACGCTGCTTTTTGCTACTTAGGATTTTTCAAGAAATAAACTTTCAAAGTGCTGGGGAAGGGAAAATTCTGCAGTAGCTGGGAGCTCTGTTAGGCCGATGGAGCTGCTGTCTCCCGGTACAGCCCTCCTTCATCAGGGATGGAGCTGCCCCAAGAGCATTTCAAATCGGCTCAGCGGCGATGTGCTTTAATGAAAGGTTGTGAGACAATTGATTTGGTATTGATCTCGGGGTGTGTCAGGCACTCCTGGTTTTAATGACCTTGTTGTGTGGATCTGGCCTAACTTGAAGGACACACAAAGGGAAATGTTCTAAAACCCCCCAAATCTCTGGGAAACATTGCTGAAGGCCAGGAGAGGTGTGTTTATGGAACTGGAGGTGAGGCCAAAACCAGCTAGTGGGAGTTTCTGGAAAAACTGATTCAAATGCTTGGTGATTAAAAATTGAAAATAATTTAAGATTTCAAAATACTTTATTCCTAATGATTTACTTTTATAGGTTTAGCCTGTGATAATAGCAGGAATAATGCATCTTGCTTGCAGGGAATTTGCTGGCTGGGGCACTGCTAAACCCCCACCAGCAGCTTTTGAGCTCGATTGCCAGAGCAAATAGATGCTCTTGCCTGTTTCACTCCCACTTTCTTCTTAAACAAAACAGCTTCTGGGAGCCCCCCAACATGCAGGGAGAAGGGCAGGGGCCGGGCGGCACTGCAAGCCCATGGCTCGTTCCTGGCCGCCCCTCCTTTGTGCTCCCAAGTGCCCTGAAGCCATCTCTGAGCCCTGGGTGGTTTTGGCACTCGGATCTCCGCTAAATAAGACAAAAGCGGCAGCAATTCGAGAGCAGGGATTTAATGGGAGGCAGCAGCTGCTGAACAGCGCGGAGCAGCCCCGCGCAGCGGCTGGGGGCTGTGAGTAAACCTGTCGGAAAGTGTCGGGGCACGGAGGGAGGCAGGATCTGCCTGGGCGAGCTGGAGCTGGGCCAAGGCTGCTCCGAGCAGCTCTTCGGTGGTGCCGGTGCTGCCTTTGGGATGCTCGCTGCAGCGCGATGCCGCTGTGCGGTAGCAGGACAGTCGTGCGCAACAGGAGAGGACATTCGTGCCCTGTGGCTTTTGCTTCGGCCCTGGGGAGGTGGGCAGGGGGTCCGGGTCCAGACCTGCCTGTCAGCAGAGGGCAATGCCATGCGGCACGGAGGGGAGAGTGTGCCGAGCCCCGAGGCGTGGGAAAGCGGCGTCTGCTCTGCCAGCAAAACCCCGAGGGTGGGAGATGAGCAACTTCCAGGGAGCTCTCAAGCAGATGTAGCCATGCTGCGTCCTGCTGTGCTCAGCCTGCTTTGCTGGCATCTGTTAAACACCCAAAACTCTTCCCTCCAGGAAGACACGCTGGCGCAGCATCCCGCAGCAGATACCTGGGGTGTGAGGCATTCTTGGAGGAGGGCAGGCAGGCAGTGAGGGCGTCCCTAAAGTGCAAGAGAGGTGGATGCTGACAGACAGCAGCCCACGGGGCTCCGTGCTTCTCCCCCAAAGCTCCCAGCAGTGTGCAGAATAGCAAGCGCACAAGGAGAAGATGGACGGTGATGCCTTCTGGGTTAAGCACCCAGCTTTCTGCAAAAGGAGGTGTTACCAGGCAGGGAGAGAGACAGCTCTGCAGTGACAATGTTTGTGGTGTCACATCAGCTGTCCTCGGTGGAGGGACGTGCCCAGGAATGGGCCACTGCTGCAGCCTAGAGCGTGCCCGACTCGGTCACCACCTCCTCGCAGGGTGGGCAGAAGTCCTTGGTGCTGCCCCTGTGCAGGGGGAGGCCGGTGGGGCTGGCGTGGTGGCTGTGGCTCAGGATGGTGGTTTTCCTGCTGCAGAGGCTCCCGGTCGAGGCCTGTCTCCGCAGTCCGGGCCGGGGGCTGCCCCAGCAGGACAGGCAGCGTGCCGCGTCCTGGAGCAAGTGCCCGCTGAAGAACATGTAAATCCAGGGGTTGCAGCAGCTGCTGAGGCTGGCCAGCAGCATGGTGATGGTGAAAGCCACGTTGGTGGACTCTGGGAAGACAAGGGAGAGAGCTGAAACATTTACAAGGCTGGGCATGGTCTGGGAAGGGTCTCGGCGTGCAACAGGCAGGACCTTGGGGGCTCTTTTTGGCTCGGGCGCAGTTTCTTCATCCCATTCCCATCCCATCTGCTGGCATCTCTTTGGGTAGGAGAGTTTGCAGCAGGGCAGGCAGAGATGGGCTCTACCCTTGGCTGAGGGTTGCAGGTGGGTGATGTATTGTAACAGGGATGTGCTGGAGCACATCCTCAGGGAGAGTGTTGGGAGACGAGGCCCAACAGCTTTTCGACCTTCCTTCAGCCTGTTCGCTGGCCGAAGCATCTCCCAGAGGCCTTTCAATCTTGGGTAAAGTTCCTTCTACCCACAAACAGACTAAGAGAGCTACTCTAAATTTCCAGAAAAAGTCAACCTATGAAATTGGAAATCTACTTTTGAAACCTCTGCAGCTGGCTCAGCAAAAGCCTTAAGGGCACTTGATGCTACACATGAAGGACCCGCTCCAGCAGCGCGGCAATCGGGGCTGAGGGTGGGAGCAGCAGGTGCAGTAAAACCCCTCCCTGCAGTCACACACCAAGCACAGCAGCTCCCAAAGCAAATTCCCACACGAGGAATGAAGCACACGTGGCGAAGATGCTCCTGTAACATCTTTACACATCCCTGCAGAATGGTCAGAAGCCATTGCTTTTCTGTGGTTTTACCGCTGAAAGCAATGATTTGACTCCACAGTTTTCTATAAATGCTACTGGGGAGCAAATCTGTAGCCTTCCCCGTGATTTTTTTAAAACGACAAAAATAAAGACAGCTTTTGTTCATTAAAAATTCAAGGGGCATGCTGTGTGCTTCGGGTGCCCTGGGCTCCGCGCCTGCCCGGCATCCCCACCGCTACTCACCGTCATCAGGAGCATCCTCGTCCCACACCGACCACATCTGCACGCTGAAAAACGGTGCCCAGCAGGCGACATAGGCCACCACGATGACGAAGGTCATCTTCACCGTGCGGATCTTGGCGCGGGAGATGGTGCGAACGCTGCTCACCCGCGAGGGCTGCCCGCTGGGGCATTGCCCGCCCTTCTCGGAGGAGTAAGGAGCGGGAGGGGCAGCTGCTGCGGGCCCCCCCGTGCTGGGGGCACTGCTCTGTGTCTTGCCTTTGAGGTTCTTGCAGATCTCGTAGCAGATGAGGCCGTAGCAGACAGTGAGGATGCTGACGGGCAGGATGAAGATGCACAGTGTGGTCCAGGTGATGTAGGCTCTGGCTCCCCACGGGTACCTGAAGTCTGCCCAGCAGTCCAGCACCCCCGAGCCCTGGCGCACCTCCCGCAGGGAGAAGATGAAGATCTGGGGCAGGCTGAGCAGGCAGCTGAGCAGCCACGTAGCCCCGATCATCGCGTAGGCCTGGCGGCTGGGCTGCTGCAGGCTGTGCAGCGGGTGGCACACGGCCAGGTAGCGGTCCAGCGTCATCACGATGAGCATGTAGGTGGAGGCGAACATGCTCAGCACCTGCAGGTACTTGACTGCTCTGCAGAGCGGGTCCGGCCCCAAGAAGCGGAACGTCACCTCCCAGATCATCTGCGGCAGCACCTGGAAGAGCGCAACGCCCAGGTCGGTCAGCCCCAGGTGCAAGATGAAGAGATGCATCCGGCTCATCTTCTTCCTCAGGCGGTACATCGCCAGCAGCACCCCCATGTTGCCTAGGGTCGCTACAGCCAGGATGGTGGCCAGCACCCCGATCTCTGCCTTGGCCAGCTCCTCATCTCGGGTGTGCAAGAGGGTCAGGTTGGGGTCCCCTGCCAGGGTCTGGGGGCTCAGCAGCCCCTGGCTGTGCCCAGGCCGGCTGTGATGCGTGCTGTTCCAGCCCCAGCTTGGCTCCATCCCTTCGGGAAGCTCTGCAGGAGCACAGGCAGCTCTAATGTTCGTCGCTGATGGCCTGTTAAACCCTTCCCTGCCTCCCCAGAGCTGAGCTGTTGGGGTCAGGGCTGCCCCTGAGCACTGCTGCACCAGCTCCTCTGTCCCCAACCTGGGGGGCTGGATGCGCCTCCTCCAGCACTCCCCAACACTGGTGCCGGCTGTCACCTCCTCCACCTTGTGCTCCTCAACATCACGCTGACCCTGTGCCGTGCGGCTGCAATTCCCCTCTCTGGCTGCTGCTCTGTGCAGATGTTCCCAGTAGGTGAAGAGGTGCAAGAGCTCCTGACTCAGCCCTTGATCTTTTTCTCATCTGCACTAAACATCCCCAAATCCCCTTTTCTGCCTGGACTGCTCATCTTTTGCATCCTCTTGGCGCCCTGCACTGGTGAATTGAAGGGGAAAGGGGAGCCCTCTTTGTTGCTGCTTTTCAGTTCAGTAAAAGTAACAGAAAAAGCTGCAGAGGCTGCATCTCTTCAGCCTTGCTGTTCCGAGCGTAAAAAAAGCCAGGTGAGCGGTGTCCAGGTGTCCGTGTCTCTGGGGGAAGCGGGGTGGCCATCTGCCAGCAGCGGCTCTCGGTTGCCGTGTGTGGGTGCTGTCTGCCCGGTCTGGGTTTTATAGCCTGGCAGCTCCCCCCCCAACCCGGGGCGGCCCCCGGCCTGGCCACGCCGGCCCTGCGCCGTGCTGGACGCTGCAGTGGGCTGGGGGGAGCCGGTTCCACCCCCCCCCCCCCCCCCCCCAGAGCTGCCATCCCTGGGCTTTGCCAGCAGCTTTTGCCAAACGCGATTTCTGAGCAAGAGCCAGAGGCTGGGAATCCTCCTGCGCTTCCACTCCCGTCCCCTGCATCCCCTCTACTGCAGCGTATCAGGGCTGGGGATGCTCTGTCCCTACGAGTCGGACCCCCTCAAATCGCTTGCCCTTGGCTTCTCCTGGCCCAGGGAGATGCCTCTGTCCCGAGAGCCTGTGCACGGGGGGAAGGAGGGGGTGTGGGTCCCCCAGAGCAGTTCCCCCAGCAGGAGCCAGACATCCACTGGCTTTGTGCAGCTGCGTCTCAGCCCTCCAGCAAAGTTGGTGAAAACATCAAGTACTGGCATCGCGGCGTGAGGCTGCCTGTTTTGGTCTGCTGTCCCTTTCCTTCTGCGTAGGAAGAGGATGGAGATTCTCCCTGAGAAATGGCAAAAGTCTGATTCTGATGTTGCAGAAGCCTGACTCTGCCTGCTTAGTCCTCAGCTAAATGCTGTCTTACGCCATCTGACACAAAACTACCCTGAAGGTGGGGAGTGGGATCCTGCTCATCTGTAGAGCAGGCTCACCTTGAGTTGTCAATATTTGCCCCCCTCCCTCGTCTGCACAGAGCCTGGAAAAAAATCCATGGGAAAGGAAAAGCTGATGGGAAGGAGTGAGCTGAAGAGGCCCCAGCAGATGCAGACTTTATGCAAAGGTGGAGTGTGAGTCAGGGGAAAGGCCATGGACAACAGAAACGCGCTCAGTCAAAGGACAAACACACCATAAATTGTGTGGCTGAAAATACAGATGAGTGGAAATGCTCTTGTGCCTCGGCAGAGCTGTGGCTGGGCTGGGAGCTCAGGTGCCTGTTTGCCAGCTTCTCCTCCTGATCTTCCCTTCCCACTTTTTTTTGAGCCTTCATCGTGTCTTCCCACAGGGTGTGTGATTGCAATCTATTTTCATTGCATACATATACAAATACATGTGCGTGTATACACACAATTTCACTTTTGTTTTGAAACATTAAAGCTTTTTTTTTTTCTTCTATTTCAATTGATGTTGAATTATAGTAATAAGAAATAAAGCCATCCATCTATTTCCAGTGATTTTTCCTTTCTCTGCTGGGGAAAGATGACAGCAGCAAACAAAAGAAATGCACCACCATGGGCTTCTTCCTAGCGCTTGTCTGCTTGACATGGGCTTTGCTGTTTGCAGAGCCTGCTCCAGCTCACTGGCTGTGATATTACAGTTAAGTTGCCTGTTAGAAGGCTGCTATTTGCTGAATAAAGATTTGCAAATCACCTCTAATAACCATAAATGAGTGCAGTTTGTATCTAATTAAAAGACATTCATTCTTATAAGAGACCCTATGGATATAAAGTACCCATCACAGGAAAGTGCCTGGCTGAGGTGCTGGCGTTCGAGATAGGTATTTCAGTGAATAATGTAATTTTCTCTGTTTGTGATCAGACAGCTGATTTTCTGGAAGATTAATAGAGGGCAGTGCAAAAAAACCCTACAAAGCAATGAAAAACTAAGATGAAGGCAGAGATGGAAGGGCAGATTCTGCAGAGAGAAAGAAACATTTAAAGGGTTTTGAGGACAGACTCGGCTTTCACAGGCACCAGTTTGATTTGGGAGCAGCTCCCTCGGAGTTAGAGCTTTTACTCCAGATTTACTTAAGTTCAGTTGCAGGGAGAATACTTCTGCAAAGGCGCTTAGAGGAAAGTGAAGTTAATTTGCAAAAGAAAAATGATCCCTGGAAAATAGAAATTAATTTTCTTTAGAACGAGAGATTATCACAGCAAGGAAATTTTTCAAGCAGATGGATTGAAAAAATAAACTCATTTTCTTTCACTCTTTTCCTGAACGTTTTGACACATCACTAGTATTGCTAGTGCTTCAGCAAAACCAGAGCTGGGTTCTCCAGCTCAGGAATTACTGGCTGGGCATGGTGCTGGTTTGTTTAGTGCTCTGGGAGGTGATGGCTCAGCTGTGCCTGGGCAGCCCAGTCCAAGCTGCAGCTACTTAGGCTGTTTCCCATAAACCAAGCCCTGGGGGAGGAGAGGTTGGAGGTGCTGCAGGATGAGGAAAATGCTGCTGTTTTCTGGTGATACATCTCTTTGTGCTCTGTGGAGGGAGTGCCCAGTGGCAGGAGGCTGCCTGTGCTTGGGGCAGGTAGCTCTTGGGGCTCTGAGCTGCTGGTTATTGCTGCCACGGGGTGACACGAGCCCTGAAACACTGTGAAAACTGTTGTCTGTGCTTCCTCCCTCCCCCCTGGGTGTGATGCTGAGGTATGGGACCGTGTAACTGGATTTCTAAGATCTTAATGTTTGGTTTGTCAAGGTAACGCCGTATTTACGTAGCTAATTTTTGGCAGCTGGTAGCATCGATACACCATGAAGCATAACACATAAAATGCTGTTTCTATTACCAGCCAGCATCCTGCGCTCTTTTACTGCAGAGGTAGAGGTTTTGTGATTGCCAAATGATTTGGCACAGTATCTAGTTACTTTGCTTTGTGGGTAGCTTGCTGGTTAAAGGAATAAATTAAATTTGTTGGCTTGGGTTTATATGATGATTTGGCTCACTTTTCAACACAAATATTTTATTTGTGGTATGTGATGGTGTTAAACTTATTGCTGACAGCACAAAACATACTTGGTCTGTCTTTAGCATTTAATCACTGAAATGTCTTTTGTGGTTCGGGTCAGGAAAAAGCAAGATTTGGTCATTTTGCACTGGTTCAGATGCTGTAAAATTAATGGTGTTGCAACTACTTTATAGCAGCTTGGGAAGATTTGGTCATTTTGCACTGGTTCAGATGCTGTAAAATTAATGGTGTTGCAACTACTTTATAGCAGCTTGGGATCATCTCTTTGGAAAGACTGAGGGCAGGAATGAGGGCTGGGAATTCCTGGTATCTAATGCTACTTTTAATGCCAACTCTCTGTCAAAACTGAGCCACGAATGACTTCCCCTTCACCTTCTGAAAATATAAACTGCTGAGACTTTGCAGTTTTTAAAGACTTCAGTACCTTTAAAAGCCTAGCTCGCTCTTGCCATTGGCCTAACTCTATGTAGGACTGTGCTTCGTTTTTCTCCAGCTTGGGGAATTTGGAAGCTGAAAGCTTGATATAATTTGTTTTTTTGTTGCTTGCCATGTTTATGAAGAGTTCTCAGAAAAGTGGCCTTGTGGTGTCTGTCTTATTAGGGAAACAAATTTCTCTGCAGTGTGGTCATTGAACAGAGGATGTGATTGCACCTATTACTGGGAGTGCCGAAGGATTTAGTACAGCCCTGGTCCATCCTGATACCATGTGAAATGCCCCAAAATATTAAACTGTCTCTAAATGGACATCTGGTTCAATACTTGCACTGTGACTCCCATTACCCACTGGAGGGAGAAAACTCTGCTGTATAATTGGGCAGCATTATCTGTCAGAGGGCTCTGGGAACTGAAGACAGGAGCTCCTATAATTTTAAGGTAATTATAAACCAGATGTGTCAGTCAGTCTCCCCTTTTTCTCCCCCCTTTCCCTCATTCAGATTTTTTTTTTTTCCATTTAATTAAAACCTCTGATCCTGCTTAATATTAGAAAGCATGTCTGGGTGCATAAATAAATATGCTAAACACATGGCAAATGCCCCAGAGCGGTGCCTGTTAGGGACACGGCTAGGCAGAACAAGCAGTTTTGATTTTAACGGAAAATCCATGTGAAGCTGTAAAAATTGACAAGTAGAATAACAAAAGCTGACAGCGTTGCATTACAGAACTAAACTTTAAAGTATCAGTGCTTAAAAACATTGCCTGGAACATAAACCTGGGGGGCCGAGCTGCCGTCCCTGGAGGTGCTGTGTCCAAGCTGTGAATTTGACTCAGCCCAGCTTGCCTCAGAGCATCTCTCCCTGCATCCTCCACGCTGCTCCCAGCATCTCTGCTGTGTGGGGACAACCCTGCCCGCCCAAACACCCCGAGTCTCCCCAAACCATGCCCAGAAGCACACGTGCCCCCCCAAACCCCACGGAGGCAAGCCAGCCTCGGTGGGGCTTGGACCAGCCCCCTCTCCCTGGCACGGTCTGCAAGGTGAGCCTGAAATGCCTTGCAGGCTGGTGAACAGCACCAGAGGATTTCTGTTGGAGAAAATAAATCCGATCCTGGGGCGTTATTGCAGCTGATAACTCTATTACAGTTTACTTTTTCCTTGTTGTCTTGCTGTGTCTTTTCATTTGACCCATACGTATGGAAACAGTCTGCTTAAGTAGAGGCAACTGCCAGAGGAAAAACTGAAGCTACAGGCATCTTAGAGATAGCAAATTACTTGTTTATCATCCTTACGTTCTCCCTGTTGGTTTCTCTGTATAGCCAGGGATGTTAAAAGACTTTGGTAGCTGTGAAATGCTTCAATTTCCTTCCCCACTCCCTCATCTCCTTTTGCTGTTATCATTAGCATTTAAAAACCAGACACAGCCAGAGCATTTACAACCTTAAAATCAATAATAATAAAAAAAAACCCAAACCAGAATTACATTTCAAGGCTGGAAACAAATGGCTTTTTCTTGTCTTCTACTGATAGGTCGCTGTCGGCATAATATATGTCTGTTAGCTCTGGTGCAGACAGACAGACAAGCCAGTTAAGAGCTACCTGGCAGGCAGTGGGGACAGGGGAATTCACTGGGGCCAGAAGTGCCACCAAGGCAGCAGTGACACGGTGGTCAGGCTGGGACAAGTACCTTCTTTAGGTCCTGTATTTTGCTTTATACAGTAAAGATCTGATCTGTGTGTTGGATTTTTGGGCCCTACAGCCTCTAGAGATGAAATGTCCCGGGTTGGGCCAGGTTTGCACGGGGCCGGGCTGGCAGAGGTGGCCCCACAGGCAGCTCACGGCAGGGTGGGTGCTCGGGCTGCTTTGGGCATCAGCACCTGCAGCTGCTTCAGCCCTCGTCACCTTCCAGCATCTGCAGCTGGAATCGGGGTTGCAAGGGTCTTGCTGGGCATCCTTTCCACGGAGTGGAACTGCTGCTCTTACCCTTCTCCCTCCCCTTTGGTGCAGACATAGGACAGCACAGGATTTAAGATACCTTTAATTGAAAATCTCAATAGAGGGGGGAAGTGATCAAGAATCTTTCCATGACCTCAGATGTGTTTTGTCTGCTGTTCCCCATCCTGCCTGATGGAAATGCTGCAGTTATTCAGAACGCATTGCCTTCCAGGTAAGAGAGGCATCAATCAGGATTATGAAAGGAGAGGAGCAGCTGTTTCAGGACAATATATTAGAAAATGATGAATCATATGGAAAATGTCTGCAGTGATCTCTACTCTCCCCACTAAAGTAAAGTTCAAGGCTTCATGATTAAAGGTTGTTCTTTCCTATCTGATAGTCAGGCCCAGGTTATGCCCAAATACAGGAAAACTTGTCTGGGATTGTGCAGCTGATGTGGTGGGATCATTTCTCACTGAGTGACCAGCACTGAGGTCAGCTTGGATCATTCAAACACTGAGTATTTCTTACCTGCCCTGACATTATCACCCTGAAAGCTTTTAAACTGTCGAGATAAGGGACTTTAAGATGCTGGGAGACAAGTTTACAGAATCAAGACTCAGTCACTAGAAGTACTACTGTTAGATGTGCTGCTTTTCTTCAGCTGTTGGTGCAACTTCTTCTCTTGCTACCTCTTTGTGTACGTGGAGAATAGGACAAAATAAGCCCAATTAAAGCACATTATTGTAGTTTAACTAGTAGTTTAGCTCGACGTGCTTAACAGATCAGAAGTGCCAGTGGAATTACTACCTTCAGCTTGCAAAGAAATGTGGGTCTTTCCCCCCCCTATCTCAGTGTGTGAAAATCTCCTAGGAAACGTAGCCCTAATGGTCTGCCTCCTCCCTGTGCTGTGGTTCCTGCAAACGA